CAAAAAAACCGGAGAAAGTTCATAAATGTCATAAATGCGATAAAAGTTTTGAATGGTTATCTACTTTGACATTGCACCTGACATCTCATGGAAAAAAACGACGATTCTTATGTGAAATTTGTAAGAAAACTTTCAAACATAAATATCACTTAACTAGACACATGAAGATAGTACATCCACAGAAACAAACCGAATCTTTTTCCACAGTAAGTAAAGACATTTTCTGAAGTTAATCTTTCAAAAATTCCTTCAATATTATAATGTGAATAAAGTTATGTAGCTTGTAAAAAATTTTTTAAATTTCTTCTCAGATATTTTTAGATGACTTTATTATGTGATTACTGTAAACAATTTTATTCTGTAAACTTTCATTCATAAAATAACACTGCATTGTTGTTCATTTAAAGTAAAGTAGTAATAGAAAACAAAAAGTAATTATTGTAAGTTAGTACTTTCAGTCATTCGAAAATCCGCAGCCATCAGCTTAAATTTACTGATTATAATTATTTGTAATAAGTTTAATCGTAATAATTGTTTCGAAATATATTTTCTCTAGATAATTTTTTTACAAAAACAATTTTTGTTTAATTAATGAAATTTTTTGAGCTTTAGCACTTGATTGCTTATTGTTTTTATGTTTGTTATTTGTTCTTTCCAATTGAAAATTTTTTCCCGCGCGAAAAAATTCTATCGCGATTTTAATCTACCTTTAATGACGCACTATTAACAACTTATTGTTTTTTAATCGGACTTTTTTATCAAATTTCATTCATGGTTTTAAACTTGAAATACACGGATTTTCCTTCGGTAAAGTTAATTAAAGCTACTTTCTGATGTCAAAACAACCTCCAATATTTTTTTAATTTTTTTTAATCAATATATTTTATTATATATGCGTTTAATGAAATCGGGGGGTCGGAATATTTAGTGATGCTATAAATAAATATAATAACATTACTAAATACAAAAAATAATAATAAATACGCAGTGTCAGGCAAAATAAAAATAATTATGGCGTGCTTTATTATTAATAAACAAAGTAATATAAAATTTGTAACACTTCAAATATCAAAATTTTTAACATTTTTTAAAATTAATTTGAAAATGTTCTCTTCTATCTTATTTACAAAAACAGTATAAAATACCGAAACATGATATTTTATAATTTACAATGTTTTAAAATATTTTTGTTATATAAATTCTGAATCGCTAATAAGTCTAAATCATTTAGGTAAAAAAAGAACCAAGATTTGAATAAATAGTAACATAGTTTGATTTGTGAAAAATAATCGATACATAAATAATATATCACTATTTAATACTTTTGTAAAGGGTATATTAAGTATATGTTGAAATTTTGTGCTCATTTATGGCTGACGCCTTGGGAGGTTTCCTTATTTGCATAAATGATAGCGCTGGCTATATCTAAATACATATACATGTTAACTAATATGTATAACTTGTTAAAATTTAGAAACTTTTATTCTGAAATCTATATCGGTCATGATATAGGTATTAGCCGATTTAGGATATGACCAATGCCAAATTTCGAAATTTCTGTTAGAGCAGTAAATATCAGTAGTCAAATATTATCTGCATGTTAAATACGGATAAGAATTGACTTCGAATTAAGTTTTTATTAACATTGAAATGAAACTCGATAATAACGAAATGATAAAATTTCATTAATATTAAGTTAATTGCCTACATCAATATTCGTATTTGTATTCGAAGGAAATCTACTTTTAAAAAACATTTTAAATAAATTTACTCGTAATAATTATTTCGAAATTTATGCTTTTTCACGCTAATGTTTTTTAATAATGACATTTTCTTCTGCATAGTAATTTTATTTTTCTAAAGAAATGTTACAAAAATTATAAAAATTTTTAAATATTAAAGAAGTTTAAATGTGATCTAAATTTAATTTTAATTATTTCAATTTACATAATATTTTATATTTTTCATTTACTAAATTGAACTCCTTCATTATGTTTATGATATTTACTTTTAGAAAGACACAGAACATGGCCAAGAAGTGCAATCAGATTTTTTACAGACACCGTCAATAAGTTCTGCAGCAAGAGGTTCAATTGAATCTGAACAAGTGGCTTCACAAGAAAGTATTTTCACATCAGGAGAAGCTGAAGAATTTCTTAAAGGTTTTAACATCGATTTAGAAATTAGAAAGTTTGAAACATCCTCACAACTCGAGTTATTCTCGGAAATTGAAAACGATGAAGATAAATTCGAATGTCGACTTTGTGGACAACAATTTTCTGAGGAAATTTCTTTAAATGAACACGAGAAACAATTTCACAAATCTAATTAATTTTGGACATTTAACTTTCAAATAACATAAATTCAAAAAGTCGTCAAAAATTATTAACATTTTTCTACATTGGTCTGAGACTAATGAAAATTAGACATTAGGAAAACAATATTAGTTACAGCACAGTTGAATGAAATAATATTGGAAAATTTTCGTATAAATTAATTTATTGTAGAAATTACTTCATAAAAGTACTGTACATTTGCAGAACGATACTTTTGGTACGAAACAAAATTTAAAAAGTTATTGTTTTAAATTAATTAATGGCTTTAATTGAATAAATTTACATTTACAGAATTGAATGTGTGTAGCAGATTTATATCTTATGTAACAATAGGTAGAAGTTCATTTATGAATAAATTGAAGAACATGGACTCACATTAGGTCATTAGATAACGCGAGAATTAAACGATTCGAAATAAGAATAACTAAACTATAGTAACAACAACTTGACTAAAATAAGCAACGAATATTATGCTTCTTGTTCCACTATTGTTAATTACTTATTGTGCACTATGTTTAGTTTCTTATTAAGACTTGTCACAGGATTGAGAACTGTCTCAAGAGTGAAATTTTAGATGGTAAAAATTCAAATTATTTACACTTTAGGTGACCAAACGACTCATGGAATGGTTGTTAATACAAGATATATGGATTTAAAAGTTATGGATTACATATTTGTAATTTAGTGAGTGTAACAACAAAAGAAACAGAGGACCAATCAGAAGGGTGATATTCGGAGAAAACCCTATAAAAACCCCAATCTCAAGGTCAGAATGGCTGATTCTCCTTGGAATAAGTGCTGAGAAGACTACAGAACCTCTGTCCACCAGCCAGTGCACCTGCCCAAGCTTCTCCGCCTGCTAAATAGTGTGAGTGGTAATCAGAACGTCAACCATCGCCCGTTCACCCGAAGCCTACCTCCGAATCTGTGGACTCTTTGCCGAAGAGGCTCCAGTGCCACCATCACCAGCAACACACCTCATCGGAAGTCCAACGTTCTTAGTTTTAGTTCTTCTTTTATAATGTAAGTTAAGCTAGTTGTTAAAATAAACGGTTTCGTGTAAAACACTAGTCATCATTGTCTCCTACCGCCATTACCCATATACGATTCGCCCGTAGGTTTACCTGATGCGCAATGAACTTATTGCCCCTAAAAGTCGGCAATCTTACAATTACAACATAAATGGAAACTTTTTTAAATGTTCAGTTGTTTGACATAGTTTATTTGAAAATCGTGGTTATGTGGTTATGTGATCGTGTTTATTTTTGTGTATGTTGGTACTCACACAAGTATTTCAAAGTTCTTAATGGACATAAAACGTTAATATATTCATTTTAATTTATGTACCATTATTTTATAAACGTTAATTTGGTTGCTTTGAGAATGTGTGTAAAAATTTTTTTGTTTAATTTTCGAAATATGAGAGATAATAAGAGTTGAGAAAAAAACGATAATAAATCGAACAATGTTATTAACATTTTATATGAATGATATGCATTACGCGTTTATGTAGCAATCTCATTCGATCGACGTTCTCTTCACATAGTTGCATATAAACATTTTCATTCAGAGTGACAGCAATGGTTTCGTGCCAAGTGAAAAAGTCACTAATCGACATTTACACATAAATCAAGTTTTTGATTTCTTTGTTCCTGATACATATCCCTACTATGAATATCTCATTTAAATGATAATCGTTTTTTTAGGCAGTGTGCAAAATTTTAGTATTTTCCTAAATATATTACTGAAATATAAGCAATTAAAAACTGAAAATGTCGCTTTCAAAGCTTTTTTTTCATTCGACATTGTAATCGCTCTTAGATCTATCAAGCTTAAAATTTAAACTCGGAAGTATTTATATAAAGGTATAATATTATATTATATAGCCTATATATACGCCTATAGTGTATACCAAAGAAGTATAAACATCTTAAAAAATACGTCAATTTTCTTCAAAATTCAATAATATACAGACTATTTTGGCACAGTCAACTTTCTTATAGATTTATCTTCATATTGCAAATACAGTTCAGAAAATAAGCCACTTACTTTCTGAACTGAGCAATGTTTTTAAAAAATTATATTTGTTTACATTACCTAGATTTTACCCAGGGTAATACAATCAGTGCTCATATTTTAATCCAATTATATTTTAATCTCAATTTTAATCCAAAAATTCAAACGTAAAATAGTAACAACACAACTGAACTAAAGCCATTATATCGCCTATATCATAGGATTATTGTAACGAGTATACAGTTATTGTAATTTCTACATTTTTCGCAAATACATGTATAATGTATTTGTATTAAACAAACATCTGTGCACTCACGAACATTCTTTTTTAGATATATACTACAGCTAATCTAAAGCACAGTTCAAGTTTACAAACATAATTAGCAAACCATATTTTTAGTTATCTCGACAGATTCATAGAAATTATCGCTGTAAAGCTTTTTCTACTGATGAATGTATGCGACTAGTTTGTTAAAAATGACACCGTGGAAGTCAAGGGTACAATTTTATATGTAAAACATAATAAAATTTACGATTTCGTAAAACATATGAACTGACCATATTGATATTTAAAATCGGTTAATTTAATATTGAAACGGAAATATTTTAAAATTACGTAAGAATTTTTTAAACAGATAGAAAGCATTCCAAATATAAGTTATATTTACAAAATTCTTAAAAGTAAAAGCACATTAATGATCCATATACTGTACTTTTGAAAAATGTTTATTAATCATAAACTGATATCAATATTTTCGGAGCAATTCAGACTTAAATACGAATTAAATTTTAAATTTTAGACAAAAATTTAAAATTTGTTAAAATTATATTTAAAATTCTTTCATTAGATTTTCAAAAAATAATAAATAATATTCGTTTTGCAAATTTGGTGCTAAAAATGTAATTTAAAGTTTTAAAAATTAATTGGAAACTTTTATTTTCAGGTTTTTTTCTCGTCATTAAAAAATGTGGTTAAAAAGGCAATATAATGTAAGTAGTCAACAGGCTGCAATTTTGAAATTTTTCCTCAACGCTATTACTACAATAACGCTATTTAATTTAGTGCACATTTAATATGACAATCTGAATAAACAATTGCCAAATTTCACATTATTGTAGTGCATTCTTGGTTTTTCATCTTTTAAAAATTTATGAAGTGAATTTAAAATTTGGACTATTAATTCTATAAATGCAATTAGAAAAAGTAAGTGAAACGTTCAATCTGTTTTGTATTGCATTGTTATTTGGTAACCCTTGTTATTCAAAATTATAAAAAATGAAAAATTTAAAACTTTACGTCATATCGAAAAAATACATGAATTTTACTATTTTGATTAAACATAAAGAAAAAGTATTTTTGAAAAAAATAAATCGAATCTTAATGATATATAATAATTTACATAACAAATACTTTTTAAAGGACCAAACAAAGATACACGAATGTACTTTTTGTGAAAATAAATTTCGTACAAAATGGGAGTTAGAAGTTCACATGAGGTCTCATACTGGTGAAAAACCGTTTGAATGCAATATTTGCGGAAAAAAATTCTCCCAGTCTGGAAATTTATTAGTTCACAAAAAAATACATTTTGAAGAAAGACCATTCAAATGCAACTACAAAGACTGTACATACACTGCGAAAAGGAAAGATGTTTTGATAGAACATGTCAATCGAACACATCTAAAAGTAAGAGCTTCTGTATTTATTATTGAATGAATAATGTTTACTTTTTAATAATAATTGAATAAATATTTATAAAATAGAATATATCATAATTATTAAATTAAAGTATAAAATATAATATTATAATAAATTATAAAACACATTTAATTATTATAAATAAGAGTGGTACTTTACAGTAAAACATCAAAAAATATACTTGTTATATATTATTCCTAAACACCGTAAATATTAATTATGAAATAACTTATCTTTCATTAAGCGTAAAAAATATGTAGAAAATTTTAAAAAATTTACAAGAGACATTAAAATTTCACATCAGTTTTAAAATATTAATATACTACATTTCTGTTTTAATGTGTAATAAATAGCTAATGTAACTTATAAATTTATAATACTTAGATTTCACCAAAAAAACCGGAGAAAGTTCATAAATGTCATAAATGCGATAAGAGTTTTGAATGGTTATCTACTTTGACATTGCACCTGACATCTCATGGAAAAAAACGACGATTCTTATGTGAAATTTGTAAGAAAACTTTCAAACATAAATATCACTTAACTAGACACATGAAGATAGTACATCCACAGAAACAAACCGAATCTTTTTCCACAGTAAGTAAAGACATTTTCTGAAATTAATCTTTCAAAAATTCCTTCAATGTTATAATGTGAAGAAAAGTTATGTAGCTTGTAAAAGATTTTTTGAAATTGTTTCTCAGATTTCTTTTGGTGACATTATTAGGTAATTACTGTAAATAATTTTATTCTGTAACCTTCATTCATAAAATAACACTTCGTTGTTCATTTAAACAGAAGTAGTAATAGAAAACAAAAAGTAATTATTGTAAGTTAGTACTTTCATTCATTCGAAAATCAGCAGCCATAAGCGTGAAATTTACTTATTACTTAATATTTATAATAAGTTTAATCGTAATAATTGTCTTGAAATATATTTTTCTCTACATAAGTTTTTTTGCAAAATCATTTTCTGTTTAATTAGTGAAATTTTTCGAGCTTTAGCACTAATTGCTTATTGTTCTTTTGTTTGTCATTTGTACTTAGCACTTAAGAACAAAATTGCTACAGTGAACTTATCACACAGGAACAATTTGTAAGATGAAAAAGTAGATTTGGTTTTTTATCTATACTAATATTACGAAGAGGTAAAGTTTGTAAGTTTGAATGTAGCGGGTAATCTCTGAAACTACTTATCCGATTTGAAAAATTGTTTCATCAATATTTAGAATAGACCTTCGGGTGGACATAGGCTGTATATTATTTCGTTAAACATTCATATAAATTAAAAAATATCATAATAGGTAAGAATTATATTTTTTTTGTGTCAGCGGCTGGCAAGGGGCAAGAGGCGTACGTATACGAGATAGGTACCCGCGCGGCGCAGTCTCGTGGTCGGCGAGATACTCGGTGCACGTGTCCGAACTTGTAGTATGTAAAGTTGACACGGGGAACGCATGCGCATAAGTTGGCTTTATTCGAACTCTTAGTCTTAATGTTCGATATTATGTTCGAATTTATATTTATGAATGACTCGAGAAGATCCAACTTATTTTGAAATTTAGCGAAATAGAAGAGCCCAGAAGGAATTACGAAAACGTTCGTTATTTATAACTTAGTGGTACTACGCATTGGTTTTTGGTTGCTGTGAATCTTAATTATCCCAGTGTGGTCAGCGGATATCTAAAAACTTTTTAGTTAGTCTCGGAAGAGGGGGACCTAATTCTTGCATCCAGTGAAAACTGGTAAGGTCGGCTATAATCTAATGATCTTAATCTTTCCTATCGTTTTTGTTCGAACAACTCCGGGCTTATCTGCTCTTATATTATAAAAACAAATGCATTTTGGAATTACATGCTACTAATCAGTCTTAATTTTATGGCGTATCTACTTAATATATCACAGAACATATCAATACTTATTTATATTTTACAGACGCGTAAAACTCACAAAAAGCTTGAAAAAGAATTATCTATAGTATAACTAATGGTAACTCACAACGTAAGGTAAAAATAGAAAAAGGAAAACGAATAAATAAATAAATATAATAACTTGAATGAATATTAATAAAAAAATAATACATAAGCAGTCTAGTGCCAGGTGATTCCGCACAGTATGAAAAGTTTACAAATTTTCGCATGCTTTTTTATTAATATAGGCCTATAAAGTAATATTATATAATATAGTTTCTTTTAAACCCTCAGCTAGGGGCGCCAAGAAACTAAGTGTTGGACGTGCAGAACGTAGTAGTTTCCTGTTTTCATAAATCAATTTTGGAAAAATTATAGTTATTTTTGTGGTTTTATGATGTTAGGTGAGTAATACATTGTGTTTTTGAAGTCTTCATTGAAAAAATGCTGCTCGAAATATGTCATTTTTATTTATTTTCTCGAAATTTTAATTAAAAAAGCATCAAATTTCGAAGCTTTTTGTACAAAATGTAATTAAGCCTATTGCTATCTAAGCTTTGATTCGCTCTCACGTATATTTCTTTTTAACTGTCTCAAGCAATAAATATTTTGTCACCACCCCAGGCATTAAATATTTCGGAAAAGACCGTCCCCTATTATTGTAAATCAATTAGCGGTAAGTGGATCGTGAAATTTAAGCTCTGATTCACCTTCCTTTAAGTGGGTTGACTTTGTTTAAGGCAATAAGTGTATTTTCACAAACCCTAGGCCAAAAATTTTTCAGTAAACACATTACCTAACATTCTACAGAACTAGAGGTAAAAAAGCAGATTATTTGCTGATAGCATTAATAGTGTGAGGACCGCATTCGCGGGAATACTTTATTATAAAATTATTATAAACTAGCTGCAAGATCCCGCTTCGCTGGGTTTTTATTTGTATGTAATAGTATAGTCTTTTTATACATATAAAAGACTGTTTTTCTAAGTAATCTAGAATCTAGCTGCAAGGACCCGCTTCGCTGGGCAAAAAGTAACGATAGTGAAGATTAAGATAATTACATTATAGCTAATCTTACCCGTTTTCACAGAATGCAAGAATTAGGTCCCCCGTTTTCAGACTAATTAGAGAATTTTTACGTTTAGTCAAACGAACTATTTTCAACGTTTCTGGAACGTTTACAATCGTTCTATAATCGAACCAATATTCGAATTTTATGTTCGAATTTAATTCGAACAATTTCGAACAAAACATTCGAAATAGAAAGCCACTTTCAACCACTTTCAAGCCCATATCTCCCGCACCCTTATAGCTATCGAGACGCAACCCCTCAGGTGCACGAATGGAGACTTGGGGCTACCACCACATACAAACACCATTCACGTGCGATGTGTAGTTTTGGCGGAAAAGTGAAATATAGGGACATACATGTCCATTTATATATATATATATAGATTATTATAACATTTTGTTGTTCGAGAAAAAGATAATTTTCCATTTCGAAAAATTATTGATCAACTCAGAGATTAAAATGTTTTCCTCGGACTTAGTTCCTTGTTTAAAATGACACGTCATGTGTGCGTCACTCGGAAGTAACGAGTGAAACTAGAACATTGGGCCCGAAGTACTAAAACTCCGGGTAGAGTCATGGGAAAAACCAAGCAGAGACCCCCTTTTAAACAGCGAGTGTGAACTTTTATGTGCGGGTGCGTGTGTCCCACTATCGCCACTTCTTAACTCTTTCTTAGGACCTGAACTTCAATTAGCACCGGAAATTTTTACCGAACTTGAACTAGAACCCAAACTCAATTAAATCCTGAATCCCTTTGGGCAGCCTAAGGACGAACCTACATCAAGGATCTACTCGAACTCCAGGTATTAGTCGCGGCGCGGAAGTTTTATAAGCTCTCTCTCTCTCTCTCTCTCTTTCCTGATATGATAAACTTACCCCTTGAGGTTTAGTTGAGCTAACGAGAAAGCTAGCTCCTCAGTCTTAAATCTCGTAAATAGCCTCTTTGAATAAACGGATATTTGTTAAATTAATAGCCTTTGGGAGTGTACTTCTTCCGGGTATCTCCCTTCATCTCCATTCCAACCCTAATCCTCCACAGACGCGACCGCTCACGGGAACAAGACGGAAATTGCGACCATCTAGGTTAGGGGTGTCCAACCTTTTTGTTTCTCTGGGCCACATTGGAAGAAGTCAAAGAGTTTTGGGCCACAAGTATATATAATATATACTTGTGACCCAATATACAAGTATATTTAAGTATTAACATGTCTAGATTATAATAATAAGTATTAAAACTTTATCACGAAACAGGATATTTTAAAAAATTACTTCTGCAGACACTTACAATTTTTACTTAGAAATAGATAAATTCATTTATTTGATAAAACGCAAATATTTGATTTACTTGAGTCTCTGATTAATAAAAAGCGACTAAACACCATTTTAAAGTGCATTTTTATTCAACTAATATTTATAAATGATATGTAGCCCCAAAAGTAGCCAAAGCGCCAAATGATATTTTTTTACGTTAAACTAAAAAAAGTAGCCACATTTGGCACAATGTAGCCAAATCTTGCAACGCTGGAAGGAATACTAAATAAAGCTGGAGTTTTGACTCAAAGGATTATAGAGTCAAATTCGGAAAAAGAAGAAAAATGACAAATGATAAAGAAGTGAGAAAAGTTGGAAAATTAAGACTCAATATTTGCCTAACATAAGAACTATTTAACCTTTCTGACAACTTTTTATATTTTGTCCTTTCTTTCCTTCCACCAAATTTGGGTCTATAATCCTTTGAGTCACAACTCCAGCTTTATTTAGTAATCCTTCCTCATTCACACATCTCCAAGTACATGAAAATATTTCATTTCCACTCAAAACTAAAATATGAATAAAGGTTTATGGCTTTGTGAAACGTCTTTTCTGAATTTATACAGTTGAAATAAATAAATAATAAAAAATTAAAACATTTGTCAATTTGTCGATTTGTTTACACTTTTATTGGGCCATATTGGAACTTGCCTTGGGTTGCATGCGGCCCGCGGGCCGCGGGTTGGACACCCCTGATCTAGGTTTCTTTATATACTTAGAAGACATAGTCGTGTCAGTCCTGACAGAATTTGTCATTGCGGTTTTTGCTGATGCGAGATCGACTCTTCGGTTCTGTGGTGCCGAAGCATAAGGGGGTCTTTCGGCATTGTCACAATAGGAAATTTTTCAACACAGTTAATTTGTTAAAACTTGGTTTTAACAAACTAACAGTGTTGTAAGAAAAGGAAGGGAATTTTGTAATTTAAAAATTATATCTTAACTTCTTGTGTCTTAAAAAAAATTATGTCTTATCCTGAAGAACAGTAGAAGCTGTTCTTCAGGTTAAGACATAATTTTTTTCTCTCAACGTAGAAGACTAAACTGAAAGACTAAACGTAGTTGCACTACGTTTAGTCTTTCAGTGTATTAAATTCAGTGAACATTTCAAACATTGTTATAAATATTTTTATATATTTCGATTTTTTAACAAAATGTTCGAACCGTTTTAAATTCGAATTTGTTATTGCATATTGGTTCGATTATAGAACGATTGTAAAAGTTCCAGAAAATGTATCAAATTGAAAACAGTTCGTTTGATTCTGAGCAATTATCACCGTTCTCGGCGGTAGGTGTTAAATAACAATTACTATGGTTCTTGAAATAATGAATATAAATGCGGTTTATAGTATAAATTTTTCCGTCATCAAATAAAACAAATAAAAAATATATCAAGTAAAACAAATTTTTTATCTGTGAAACTTTGTTGCATTACCTGTAAAGCCAGTATAACAAGTCCTGGTAATAGAAAATACGTACTTGCAGACGGAAACATTTATATTGTAATAATTCAAGGATATTGAAGCATATTAAATAAATGCGGTTTATTTGCAAAATCCCTGTGGGCAACGTCGCGGGTAACAGCTAGTATTGTATATAAGGATTATCGTTTTAAACTATATTCCATCAAACAGAAAATTAGAATACTTTACTATTTAAAAGTGCTCACTTTCATTGATTACAATAGTAAATTAAAAAATAAATTATAAATTCCATTCTATAAATTTATCTTCAGTAAATTAATTTTTTGAATGATGCAGCTGACCTTAATTATGATTTGAATATACAGTGATAGTCATTTTAGTTTAATTAACTGAATCAGATTATATTATATACATTTTTGAATTCTTAGGCAACCGTTGAATATATTCAAGATGTAGAATATGACATTGTAGAGAAAAAGCAGAAAGAATCAATGGAAAAACCATCAATGAGTGATAAAAAATCTCAATCAGTAGAATATGAAGAAGCTGTTGTGGAAACCCTTAGTATCAGTTCAGAAAATACTGAAATTATGAATAGAGACGAATATTTAAACATGAACGAACTGGAAGATTTACCAGAATTGGAAATTTTTTCAGAAGTGATAATTGAAGGAATCGAACTAGAATGTCACGTCTGTGAAGAGAAATTTGACAACGAAGTAGCTCGTAGAGAACATGAAGCGAAATTTCATTAATTTGCAAAGCATACGATTTGGTAACGATGTTACAAACGTTTTAAATCATGCATTCTTTTTTTGTTTGTTATAAAAATATTTTTGATGTTTTGCATGCAGAAAATCAGATTAGTAATTAGGTTTTGTATATCTTTTTATTTTCAAAATTGAAATTAAATGAAAATATGAATAAATTTGTGTTGTACTCATTTATTTTATTCAAGTCAGGAATTCAGTAAAAATATATTTATAAAATTACGTTTAAAATTTCTATAAAGCCTGTTTTTTTATTGTGTTTTCCATTCATCTTTTTATGTTCTTCAAATAATCTATAGTTGTATTTACTTTTGACCGAATTAACGTAAATAGTCACTGTCTTTTTACGTTTCTATTGTATTTACATTTTAAACACTTTCAAACTAGTTCAACAGAAAAAGAAAATGAAATCGTTTGAAAATGCATAAAATTATTCTAAAATAAGGACAAACAAGTCGAATTGCTGATAAAAAATACAACAATGTTGAATTAGCCCACCTTATTTCAGAAGTCATATGTGAGAACATCTTATTGTTGCATAATTGCATAAAATCGTGTTTATAATATTTTTCACATACAAATGTTATCCAAACAATGAACCGAGTTGCAAAAAATTTAAGTCAATTTAAACATTCTGACTATTTGGATAACATTCAAATCGTTTTTAGTTTTTCTTTGGTGAAGATAAGCTTCGCTGTTGAAAACGGTATAAACATGACTGTATTCAAATCTTTAACATTTCGATTTGAAATTCCGTGATTATCTTCACAAAAAACGAAAAGACTTTTAAGTATAAAATTTCAAAAAAATATTTCCTCAAAAATTGATGAAACTTTATGGATTAATTCTACAGAAATAACCGCCGTTTTTTGCCTGGTTCGCATTTAATCAGACACAAAATCTTATCTTCGTATTCTTTATTTACTTATTTACTATGCATTTCGGGTGTAATATTTTCGTGTAACTTGCACCCCTCTTCAGGTTTTTTACATTTTTATAAATTGGTAAATTCAATTATTACATTTGTTATTACGGTAAATTATAACAATAGTTATTTGGATATATTTATACAATAGTTAACTAACCTGTTTTAAATTTAGACCTACCTTAAATTTCCTGCAGCGCTTTTAGATATATAGATGAATATACAGATATTTTAATTTTCCTTATTCCAGATGTAAGATGAAAACAGAAAAGGGTTTATAGCTATTTTAATGATTTTTTTTCAATTTTCATTGAAAAAATCGTTGCGTCAAATATTTGCGTTTTTAGATTTAAAAAACAAATTGAAATTACTTCTTCAGTCTGTTCGTAAACTTTCTATTGTTGGTGCACTACTTACAAACTGTGTACACTTGTTTATACGGTAGTGCAACATCAAATAATTTTAATTCTTAATATTCAACTTGGACAAACATTTGAATGAAATCAAAAATAAATAAAATTTAGCTTTAATTCATTGTTTCCATATTTAATTCTAATAACAATCTTCTATCCTCTGTCATGCTTCACTCTTGCTTCTCTCTTTTCTCTCTATATCTAAAATATAAAATTAATAAATTTTTTTTTATTTTATTTGTTGAATTTTCATAGAAAACCATTATTATTGATAAAAATAATTGAATCGTTCTATATATTTTAGTCATTAAATAATTTGTGTAATCATAAAATACAACCAATAAAATAAGAAAGATAAAAATAAATGTACAATATTCTATAAGGAAACAAAATAAATTTTAAAATATCATAATGTATGAAATTTATTAAGCGCAGAGACCATTTTAATTTCTTACGAAATCTTTCGCGGACACCCTACCATTCTCCACGCTCCCCAAATTAATTTTATTTTACCACAAACACCAGCAGTGATTCCCAAAACCACAGATGCCCATAGCAAACTCTTTGAGAAACATATTTTCAAATACACAAGGCTATTATATACTGTATATATGTTACGACAGAGTTCGACAACTTAGATAAAATTATTCGCTCATAAAACTACCCAAATACAGACAAGATTAAATATTGCAATACTAAAACACAGTCAACTCTCAGCATTAATTTTGTAATAAGCAATAACTAACTGACTAACCTTTACATACAAACAAAAATTTGAAACACTTTTACTCATACATTAAACTTTTTCTAGAAATTTTAACAGGGACGAATGTTGTGCAAAATATTTGGGCAAGCTGACTTTATACTACAAACAATAGGCCTACTCTAGCACTTAACAATAAACAAAAACGTAATTTGGTGTGAATAAAAAATATTAACTATTATAGAGCAAATTATATCAACACAAACACTCACTTACTTTATAAATATAAAATTGAGGTACGTGAAATAATATAAAGTTTACTTGCAAATGTGTTAGAGTGTTGTTGATTGAAGGGAATCATCCCAATAAGCTTTCACTTAAAGGTAAAGTCTTCTCCTCTTTTGGATCAATCAAAAACATTTAACTGAAGCATCTGTTTCATAGCTTATCATATTTGAAAAAACCATTATCTATATCAATAATCTTATTGTTTTTAGTTTTAATTGCTATATTTATTGTCTATAGAATGTGTTCTTGGTATGTGTTTTGATATATCTAGAACGAATTGATTAGATTCTGATTGATTCATACGAAAAGATTTGTCACGGTTTTTGTTGGTTTCGACTAAAACCGAGTTATTACTGTATTGGTGTTTAATTAAGTAGCTTACGGTTTTTTTAATAATAAGAAATAATTTCAGTCGGAATTTTTGTCTTTTTAAGCTAAGAAATAAGCACAATACGTCAATGTGACAAAACAATTCCTAGATTTTACATTATTGTGGTGCATTCTTGCTTTTTCGTCTTTTCAAAATTTATAAAGTGAATTTAGAATTTTAATTACTTATTTTTTAAATGCAATCAGAAAAGGTAAGTAAAACTTGTAATGTGTTTTGTTACGCGTTATTTTTAATTAATAGACGACACTTGTCATTCGAAATTGTAAAAAATAAAAAATGTAAAATTTTACTTTTTATCGAAAAATACAAAAACTGTATTTTACTATTATATTTTGATATAAAGAAATAATATTTCTGAAAATATTAATGACGAACCTAATAATCTGAAATGCTTTACACAACGAATATTTTTTTAAGGATGAAAAAAAGAAACTTGAATGCCCTGAATGCAACCAAATATTTCTATGGAAATCGCAGTTAGATGTGCACTTGAGAAGCCATACTGGTGAGAGACCGTTTCGATGCGATATTTGCGGTAAAAAATTCTCCCAGTCTTGGAATTTAGCAATTCACAAAAGAATACATTCGGAAGAACGACCTTTCAAGTGCAACTGTGGATACGCTACAAAAAGGAAATTTGATCTGTTATCACATGTCAAACGATTACATCCACATGCAATCGCTTCTGACATTATTACTGTAAGAATTATGTTTATGTTTATTTTTGCATTTAAGTGCATAAATATTTTACGAAATAAAATATAACAAATTTATTAACTTAAAGTATAAAATATAATATTATGATGGACTATATAACTCATTTAATTATAAATTAAAACATAATTTACAGTGAAAGATTAAAATATATACTTGTTATATCTCTACCGTAAAAATCGTAAATATTAATTATGAAATAATTTATTCAATAATAACAAATTATAATGCATACAAAATATAACGAATTTACAAAGTATATTAATATTTTAATTTTCTTTTTAGAATGTAATAAACAGCAAATAGTAATTTTCAAATCATTTGATACTTAGATTCCCCGGAAAAAATCGAAAGAAGATCATAAATGTGACCAATGCGGTAAAAGTTTTCCATGGTTATCCACTTTAACAAGACATCTAATCTCTCATANATAATTTATTCAATAATAACAAATTATAATGCATACAAAATATAACGAATTTACAAAGTATATTAATATTTTAATTTTCTTTTTAGAATGTAATAAACAGCAAATAGTAATTTACAAATCATTTGATACTTAGATTCCCCGGAAAAAATCGAAAGAAGATCATAAATGTGACCAATGCGGTAAAAGTTTTCCATGGTTATCCACTTTAACAAGACATCTAATCTCTCATAGAAAAAGTCGACCGTTTTCATGCGATATTTGTAAGAAAACGTACAAACATAAATGTGACTTTAAAAAACACATGAAAATAGCACATCCACAGGAACAAACCGCATCTTCTTCCAAGGTACGTAAAGCAATTTTCTGAAATTAATCATTTAAAATTTACTTAAATATTATAATGTAAGGAAAGTTATTCAGGTTGTAAAAGATTTTTATAATTCCTTATCAGATTTTTTTAGGTGACTTTATTACGTGATTACTGTAAATACTTTTATTCTGTAACCTTTATTCATTTAACAAACAACACAGCATTGTTCACGTAAAGTATTAACACAAAATAAAAACGAATAATTTGAAATTTGTACTTTCAGTCATTTGATAATCAGCATCAGTCTTTCTATACCTCTATAAACGGTAATTTCAAAATAATACGATTTAAGATGTACAGTATATTTTCAAATTTGAAATTATTTATGCTATATCTGATGATTTTTAATTACTGTTGTCATTATCTATATTTCTTTTCTAAACAGCAAGGTAAATTTTGGAGAAAATCGAAACGACAAAACTTTTTCCCTGTGAATTTTAATAAGCTATACCACTAGTAAAATTACTATTAAAAGGAAATCTACCATCGTAAATTATTTAGAATGAATTTAACTGTAATAATTGTTTCAAAACTTTCTTTGTTTTAGATAAATTTTTCTTCAGAAACAATTTCCATTTAATTAATTAATGAACTTTTAGAATTTCATTACTTGATTGCGTATTGTTTTTCTTCTTGATTCTTCTGAATGAAAAAGTAATTTGATTTTTATACATCATTAAAAAATGCATTTTGAATTACATGCTGCTAATCAGTTTTAATTTTATAGTAAATCTACATAAGATATTACAGAACAAATTAATACTTATTTATATTTTACATACGCGTAAAATTCACAAAAAGATTAATCAAGAATAACCTATAGTATAACTAATGGTAACTAATATCGTAAGGTAAAACTAGAATAACGAAAATTAATAGATAAATATAACAAGTTAAATAAAAACTAATAAAAAAATGATAAATGGGCAATCCGGTGCCAGGTGATTTTGCGTCCTATGTAAAGATTGCAATTGCGCCTGTTATCGTACAAATTAGATACTTTTAAAAATGAAATTTAAGTATAAATATACATAATAAATTGTTTGCACACTATGAAAAGTTTACAAATTTCGACACGCTTTGTTATTCATATACAAAGTAATATACAATCTGTAATTTTTCTATAATCACCGCCTTTGTTAACTCTCTTTTAAAACCCATATTTAGACGCGATAGCAATCTATTATAACGTTTGACATGCGGAAAACAGTCATTCTGTGTATTCATAGATAAATTTTAAAAAACGATTCTTTTATTGCGGGTTTTGTGATTTTAGGTGAGTAATATATTTTGTTTCATTAAAAAGTTACTCAAAATATATCATTTTATGTATTTTTTAAACGAAAACAAAAAAGTAGTAATTTTCAGGAACTTTAATTAAAGAATCGTGAAATTAGAAGCGTGTTTTACAAACTAAAAAGTCTGTTGATATCAAACATTCGCTTTTTTGCATATGTCATTTAACTGTGTCAACCAAAAAATGTTTTCTTACCACTCCGGTTCTTAAATATTTCGAAACAGACCGTCCCCTACCATTGTAAAGCAAATAGAAGTAAATGGGTAGTATGGAAATGGTAAAATCTCAGCTCCGATTCTCTTTTTTTTCGTTTAGATAAAAGTAAAATAAAAAGTATTAAATGCAACAAAATATTCAACAATCTGTATGAAACGATCGATGTAAAAAAATAAAAAACCAATACAAATAGATGAGTCAACAGCAACGTCATATGTCGTCAATAACAGTAAAAATTGTATTGAGCAAATGCAAACTCAATATGCCACTAACTGCCACGATTAGACGCGTGGTGACTATTGTTTCCCAGCGAACTTTNTTTCGAAAATCGGGTTTTATAGTTCGGTTCTAAACTTTCGTTTATGTTAATAAATGTCCTTAAATTAGTTATATCTGATTCTGCATTCCCCCTCCTGAGAGGTTCATTCCTGGACTAAGGAGTGACTCTTACCCTCGCGCCTTAATCATTCATTCATTTCATCTCAAACAGCAGTATGTCCGACAAAACACACCTGGTGGCAGGACTCTACTCAAAAAAGTAAGTAATAAATCTTTACGGCCCCGAACCCCACAATTAATTACAACAATAAATTTAAAAAATAAATTATAAAGTCCATTCCATAAATTTATGATCATAAAATGATTTTTTGAATGATGCAGTTGACCTTAATTATGATTTGAATATATAGTGATAGTCATTTTAGTTTAATTAACTGAATTAGATTATATTATATACAGTTTTGAATTCTTAGGCAAGCGTTGAATATATTCAAGATGTAGAATATCACATTGTAGACAAAGAGCAGAAAGCATCAATGGAAAAACCATCAACGAGTTGTCAAAAATCTCAATCAGTAGAATATGAAGAAGCTGTTGTGCAAACCCTTAGTATCAGTTCAGAAAATAGTGAAATTATGAATAGAGACGAATATTTAAACATGAAAGAACTAGAAGATTTACCAGAATTGGAAATATTCTCAGAAGTGATAGTTGAAGGAGTCGAACTAGAATGTCACATCTGTCAAGAGAAATTTGACGACGAAGTATCTCGTAGAGAACACGATGCAAAATTTCATTAAGTTGATTAATCACTTCTGAATATTAATTTGCAACAGATACAATTTTGTAATAATACTACTAAAAGATTTAAATCTTGNGCAGAGAACACGAAGCAAAATTTCATTAATTTGCAAAGCATGCAATTCGGTAACGATGTTAATAAACGAATTAAATCTTGCATTTATTTTTTATTTATTATACGTGTGAAATCATGTTACTACCAGAAACCATGACAATAGGTATTTGACCAAAATGGTCGATATATAATTCAATAAAATATTTATTTATTATAAAAATATTTTTGATCTTTTGCAGGCAGAAAATCGAATTAGTAAATAAGTCCTGTAAATATCTTTATTTTTAAAATTAAAAATAATAGAAAATATAAATAAATTTGTGTTCAACTCAATCATTTTATTCAAGTCAGCAATTTATTAGAAATACATTTATTGTTTGAATATTTATTTATTTAGCATTCTGGTACAAAGACCCTGATGTTAGGATAGAACAAAACAAAACAAAAGTATACATAACCTTACAAAATAATATAAACATGTTCCACAGATATATCCATCAATTGCAGTAGCATATTATATTAATAGAAAATTACACAATTCATAAATCATTCTAAACTAAATTCAATAAAAAAAACTTAAAGAACTACATGGGAAAACTATCCGGAACAAATTAACAACCAACTAGGTTAAATCTTACCTAGAAAGAGAAAAAGCAACAGTTTATATCACTCTTTCAAAAAGAAATCGGATAGTCTCCCAAGCAGTCCAAGCAACCCCAGGTTAAATAATAGGCAGACCACGCCCCAAGATGAAATTTACATAAAATAACCACTATTTTCGCTTTAAGCCAGCCTTAAAAAATAAATCAAAATCAGAAATAAGTTTTTTAAACTGATTAAATGAAAAACAGGGAACCCCAAATGTCTCCAAACGTAATTTTGGCAAAAAAAGTACAAACAGCGATAATATGAAACGCATCTAATGGCGAGTCAGGTACTGTACACCACATATACATCTGTCCCTTCTAGAAAAAGAAAAAAACAACAGTTTATATCCTTCTTTCTAAAAGAAATCGGATAGTCTCCCCTTGTTTGAATATAAAAGTGAAATTAAAATTAGAATAAAACATATTTTTCTTTATTATATCTTCCAATTTAAATATTTATGTTCTTCAAATTATGTTTAATTATATTTACGTTTAATCGAAATAACGTATATTGTTTCTGTCTTTGTACGTTTCTATTGTATTTAAATTGTATGAAAACTTTGCAATTTGACACCTGTCCAGATAAATATGTGATAGCTTTTTGGTACAAAATTTTCAAAAATATTATTTTCAGTGACGCAATGTTAATGTTTAATAAGAGTTCTTATTTTGCAGTGTACAAACACGTAAATCCATGTTATTTTTAATAAAACATTTGTCACTTAATGTAGCAAATTTGGGTTTTACTTCAATTTTTCGTGTCCGTATAAATTTGAAACGAATCTTAACATAATCCTGAAAACACTCGGCATTCGTAGAGACGCATTTGGACAGCAACAACACCACAATGTATAATTTGATCGACATTCATTCAACAAACTTATTAAATATTAAACGAATCAAGTGGATAATTCTGAAAGATAAAATTTTTTATTACGTCCGGAAATCTGGTCAAAACATGGCAAATTCTGGCTGTTGTCTGACAAAATCCTGTACTTGTAGGATCCATAAAGAACCGTTTTTTAGCTATTTCGGTAATCGATTGATAGCAAATAAACTTTCCCAGTTCTTGCAGAAGATCCTAAAATAAACTCCGTATTTAGTGGATCTGACTACCTATAATTGCAATCTGCGGAGTTACATTTAAGAGAAATTGTAAAGGAAAAGCAAGAGAGCCATCACCGACTTCAAAGAAGACATTTTAAGTGTTCTTTGTGAAATTGAAGAATAAAATAGGAGGTTACACCGTTGAAAAAAATGATCGAAAATTTAAAAACATGATTACAATTAGTGATTCGCGGCAAAGATTAAGTAAGATATTTTCTGCTAATAGATAGCGCTTCATTTAATGTCATGTATGCTACCATTAGAGTTTGTGATAATGTATAGCTTAGTGTCGATGTGTCGATTCTAGGGTTTAAGTTACACTCCTACAGTCTTTGGTTCAGATCGGTTTAAGTATAAAGATCTGTACCTTGGACAAACCTACAAGTATAGAGTATTATGTA